ACCACCACACCATGCGGGTCCTTCGTTTCACCTGTCCCTCAGCTAGTTCTATCGATCAGCGCTTTGACCAGTCATCCATCAACGGGATTGATCTGGGAGCCCACATGTGGGTGCGAGGTGGGCTCCCCAGATCAATCCCGTTGATGGATGACTGGTCAAAGCGCTGATCGATAGAACTAGCTGAGGGACAGGTGAAACGAAGGACCCGCATGGTGTGGTGGTGAACGTGTTACTTGCCGGAAAGAACAATAGCGCGTTCGTTCCCCACCATAGACGCCTGCGGTCCAGTTTTGCAAATCTCAGCAATGTTGTGGTTGTATTCCGCTTAGTACCCTGCCATGAAAATTTTAGTGGGCAGAAAATAAAAGGTAAAGCTTTGAGAAGATAGTTTCTGAAATTGTGAGTTAATGAATGGTACGTGTCACCATGATAAGTCCACAATTTGACCTTGCCCGTTGTATTCAAAAACTTGGCGCTCGATACGAAGTCTTTTTGGATGTCCAGTCTTGACTATAAACTCGCCACTCGTAACCGTTTAGAATTCAGGAGTCGTTGGTTGTTCAAACGACTCTGCATTCTTGGCACAGCTCGTGCTGGCTGGAATGCCAACGCTGCCGATTTTTCTAATGCCATAGGTTCCGAGGGGCAATTCTTCAGCCCTGTCATCATAAACGGTGTTCAGTGAAAGTTATCTGTTTTGTCGTCCTGTCCAGCGGCGTCATAACTCGTCTTATTAGCTCGCACCACTGACTCTTGAATGGAAGGTTCAAATGGTAGCGTGGTTAGGAATATTCACGGATAGCTTTCGGCCCATCCCCAGAGTAAGAGTAAACAACGGGCTTATTTGTTGAAAAAGATTTCTTGCTGTGCTCCAGACCTTTTTTTTTACATGATCAATGTTAGTGTATATTGTGAGGATCTCAATATTTCTTGCATTCGATTCGTTTACACGCATCCATCGTCCACGAAGGCTTTCGGAATTGCGTGTTGGTCGGCCAGCGTTTGACGATTATTGGTCTGCTTTGCGAAGTAGAGTGCTGGTCCAGTAGGTTCTTCCTGCCCCAATATCGATTCAGAGATTGCCGTTTTCGAGTTTCCATGGTCTCATGGACCATAATGAGCTCATCAAGCTAGTCTTGCACTAATTAATCGATCACGGAGGCTTGGTGGGCTTGGTTCGCCTACATTACCTGATTGCAGGCTTCGTACTGATGTTATATGCAAGGCAAAGTTCGTATATATGTAGGCACACCCACACATATACACGAATATGTCCACTTACAGACGGAAGTACATGTTAAGTTTGCCCAGTAGGAACATTTGGTTCATTCCTTGAATTCACCTTAATAGTACCTAAGTACAAATTCGCTTGTGATGGCTGCATAACCCTCGATCTATCTGGTACACGCCATTTAGCCTAGCGATTGACTCACTAGGAATTCTTCAGCTAGGAAGGTTCAAAGAGTAGAGGCATGTAAGTGTAATATTATATCATTGTAATGTAACAGTTTCTTCTTTCTGTGCCTGAGTTGTTACTTCCATTACTTTACGTTGTTTTTTTTCAGTACTCAATGGGTTGTTTGTTCCAGATGAATATGAACTGTGAGGATTTCTGCGATTTCTCAACTGAGCGGCGCAGGTTCGGTTCCAGTTCGAAGAAGCCGCAATTAACAGCGGAAACCCTGATGAAAACAAGATTTGACAGGGAACATGTGTTAGGAGAAAGGTATGAGTGGATCTTTTCTTTTCAATGTTTGCTTAATATCAAGGAGAATTCGTTACTTTTTGGCTATTTTATCTCTTTCCTTGTTTATAGTTGACCCATTTGTCCCGCTTTCCGCTTTTTCATTGGCAAACTTTTCATGTTACTGCTGACAGATTTTAGGTAACATTTTTGTGGTCTTTGTTTTGCTGAGCTAAAAACTAACTAAGAGAAAGACGAAACGAAGGACGCGCATGGGGTGGTGGGGAACGCGTTAGCCCTCGGATAGAGTAATAACGCGTTCGTTCCCCACCGCAGACACCTGCCGTTCGGAGCTTTGCAGATATCTCAAAATTGTTGTGGTTCTATCACTCATAATACTCTGCTATGAAAAAAGAACAGGCAGGAAATAAAAAAGTTAACATTGTTGTTTCATTGCCAGTTCCCTGGAAAAGATGTACGCGAGCACAAGCATGCCTCGGCCATATGTTTGTCACGCAACAACCAGCCAGAATGATAGCGCCGTCTCGTCGTCGTTTTCATCGGATGCTAATGGCCATCGACCTACACGGTCACTCTTCTATATCCTATTTCTAGAAAATATTTGAAGAACATTTAGGTTGATGTACTTGTATGTTTAGATTACGAAGCATTCGAGAAGAACATTTAAGAGGAAATCCGACAACTTTCGCGATCCCGGTATGTGATAGCCTTAGATATTACGGAGCTCTAGCAAATGATAAAGAAGAAACGACTTAGGATTAGTTTGATTAACATTAAAACTGCTAGTCAGTCTGCCTTCCATTTATCTTCACTTCAAAATTTTAGCGCGTGGAACATCACTCTAAAACGGATATGAAGTTTGATCATAACACCGAGGACGGTTAGTTTTGTTCTACTTTCTCAAAATTTCAAAAGCTTCGGATTTTGGTTATTATTCGTGGTTAACATACAGGAAGGAAAACATTTGCTGGAGTACTGTGTAAGAAGTTGAACCGACTGAAAGCCAGGCGCGAACGAAACGATGAGACCGAAAGACAGCTAAGAGATATTGAAAGCAGGAAATGTACAGTAAGTCACGAGATCTCAGCAGTGGATATTTTATTATTATTGCAAAGCAAGAACTGTGTTTAGACTCGTGAGCTGATTTCAACTTCTGAAGCTGCTCACGTTGCAACGTGCGACGACGACGATGACGTCGAGTGTTACTTGGAACGAATGCGAGAGGATAGTCTGAAGACTTCAGCAAATCGTTCTCCGTGCCACAATGCTGTTTCACCTAGTAGGAAAATTTTTTTTGTACGGATAAGGGTAGAACATTGTTTCATGGCTTAGGGTGTCTACTCTATTAATAGTTTCCTAGTAGGAGATATCAGTTTCTTTTCTTCTGAACTAACTTGAAAGTGAAGTACTTTGTTCCGTCGAAGTAGTCTTCATCAGTATGAAACATAGTTCACAACGGTGCTATCTTCAGAAGTAGTTCTTATCCATGTTCGCCCAGCGTTTTTAATAATCATTCCTTTAGAGCGTGATTACTATAACTTTAATAATCCAATTTCCGTGAGTACCGGTGAATCATGTGAGATCACCTGTAGTCACTTCACATTCTGGTGATTTATCTTGTCTTTGCCTCTTTTTTTGCATTGTTCTATCACATCATTAAAATTATTCCAATTTCCTACTGCTTAATTCTTCTGAAGGGAGTGTATAGTGGTTGTAGGAGCCGTGCATTACACATGGAATCGATCCTCGCACCCAGGGCTCAGCAAGCCTTCCATCCTTTCGGGGTCGACAGATTGATAGTAGACTTGTCCGGGAGGATAGCAGCACTGACTCGATATATCGGTAGGCCACCACGAGTCATTGTAAAGGCCAGATATGCATTCAGTCATCTCCAAGGATACTTAATGAAGTCGAATGCATGGCCTATCCCACAGGAATTGGTCGACGCTGACTGTCGTTCATCCACTTTGTTTTCTAATCATTTTCTTCCAAATAGAATAAGTGATACTATATTTTCATTTTCTCACCTTTATCATATGATACATATATATATATATATACATATAAATGTATATATATACATTTATATATATACATAATCTTAACCCTTTTATTTACTGCCTTTTTCTTTTTAATGGCAGGGTATGTTGCGAAATATAACTCGTATATAATGCTGAGATATTTGCAAAATTCCGGACTGCAGGTGTATGCGGTGGGGAACGAACGCGCGCTATTATCCTTACCGGGGAGTAGCGCACTTCACCACCACACCACACGGGTCCTTCGCTTTGCCTATCTCTCAGCTATATATACATATATATTTGTGCATACCCATACATGTATATATATATGTATGTATAAGTCAATTTAGTCGTTTTCAAGGTGAAGCAAATTGGATCACATACTTACCCTGAGATCCATGGGTTAGGTGGGCGGGATCCGTGGTTCTATAGCCTAATTCCGAGTTCCAAATTATGATTATTGCCGAGAAATAGGAGAACTTGTTAATGACTATGTCTTTCTGTGTAAACCGACATTGGAACTTTCAGGACCATTTTCTCCCGAACATGATCGTAAAAAGATCGATTGTGGTACTGGTGATGGTTCACTTGAGATGAGATCCATGTTGAACTATCCGCGTTCAGCAAATCAGTTCGCTCCACCACCTTTGCCTTGTACTTTCAATACTTCTGGTGTCTACTGCAAGGAAATGAGGTTACTAATAGCTTTTCCGCAATTGGTAGTTTTATTTTCGAAGCATTATAGTCAGAATGAAGTTTATGCGACATAGTATTGCATTCTTAGTTTGGTGCTGTATAGGTCCGGAAATCAAACAGCTCCGATTTATGATTCTTCCGGTGTCGAATCTATGGCTCCATCGGCTTTTTCGGATACTTCTGGTGGTTCACGAAAAACGCCATTGATTGCACCAATGCTGGATACACCGAGACGAACGCGTCGATCCGTTCCATCTGGACAGTTGATGACAATATCTTACAAAGGTGTGTGTGTGCGTCTTAAATCTAATTTACTGCTTATTGGACAGCACTTTTCAGGTACTGACGGCGTACCTGTGGTAGCACATGTGCCAGCTTCTGTGAGAGGAATAACACTGAAGGAATTTCGCAGGCATTTCTCCATTTCTTCCCACGCTAACGTCCAGTAAGTTAATAATTGCTCTTCGAGGACATACATCCTTCTACATTATTAATGTTCTTTTACATCCCAAATGTAAATAGTTGTGATAGTTCGCCTTGTTATTTAACTACATTTGAATGTTAGAGCTTAGTCAAGGTTAGTTCTTTGGTCATCCACATGGTTTTGGCTATGCTTGTATTTCCATGGTCGCTGTTTTATTTTTTTTCCAGAAGGTTTTGTGTTTTAAGAAATCCAAGACTTCACTTGATATCTGGTAGAGTATGTGGAGATGATTATGAAGAAATGAGGGGTAGTAATACAGCTGAATCTTTGTATCAAAAGAAACAAGCATCTTAAAAGTTATAAAAGGGAATCCTTTGCTCAAATCTTGTCTAACTTCTATGACTTCTATGAAGTCATGGGAATCTGGACCTCGATTGTAACTGGGCATCTCTTCTAATATACTCGTCTTGTTAACAAAGTTCATATTATGGAAAAGGTGCACATTAGTTTCTTAACTATTCCATGTGGAAGTTTGTAGGGTATAACGATTTTCCTCTTAGCGTGAAATAAGTAATGGTTCTTGTTAAGATTCTTCTTCAAGTCGACTTGCGAGGATGGATCTGCTCCGTACCAACTTCTTTTGGTGAATGAGGACTCTGCGTATCTTCCTGTATTCGAAGGGAAAATCACAGCTGAGTTGAAGCGAATATCACCAGAATAACAGCTCCGATCCGAATAGTCAGTTTAAGTGTAGCAGTTTCCTCCCATATTAGATTTTTTTATCGGATTCAGTTAGAACACGAGTTCCTGTGATTTTGTCTCTTATTTCCAGTGCTTGTATTCTTTCAAAATTTCAGCTAGGTGGTTTTATTTCTTAGGTTACAGAGCTATTTTGCGCTTTGCATGCCCTGAACGAATGTACACTCTATTACCTTCTTGCCGTATTGTCCTTCTACGTTCAGTTATATGAGTGCCAGTGTTGCTGCGAACATTGTAAGTTAGTGTAATTTTCTATAGTTGGTAGGCTGTGTCGATACTCAGTTTATGTTCCTAATTTTGTCACATGTATACCTCCTTGATCTAAGTGGTCTGTATTGTGACGTTAGTTCAGTTCATCTCTCAAATCTTTGCTCATCCACCGACAGCTCAACTTCTAAAAATTGTATTTAAAATTCGTCGGTTCATAGATCATTTACAGAAATATATTTACCACGCAGTTTTGTGGCGTTTTTTTCTTGTTCATAGAAAAAGATGACGTGTGACCTTTTGTTTTTCACGAGTGCTTCATAACTTTGTTCATCGTACACATGAACTGGATAATCTTACAGCCCACGTAATCCTCAAATTCAACGTTCAGCAAGGGTAAAGCTTATACCGTCCACAAAATACCGCACTTTTTTCAAACCGACCGTTATTTAACCTCGGTTGAAAATAACGTGTGTGAAATTGTTGAGCTTACACGATGGTGATAAAGATGTTTATGGCTAACGTTTCGATGTCTTCGTCTTCATCAGAGTTGATGATTTGAGTTGATGGTCCACAGTTATTCGTCTTCTCGATGTGGCGTCTTCGTCGTTGTACTGAAACGGACTTTCTTCAGTGGAACATCGCACGAATGAGGCATGGTCGCCCAGCAGTGCTCTTTTACATACGGCGGTTGTTGTTGGTACGACTATCCGTTGATAACAATTTGTTTTCATCAAAACGTGTGTGCCACCGACTTGGATTATCAGCTCTGATGATGACGAAGAGATCAACTGAATGGATGTTATTGTTAACAACCTCGCATCTCCTGATCAAGAAAACTTCCCAGAATGACCGTTTCCTCATGCCCAACTCTGTAGCGTAGTTGTTTATTATGCTGACTTCTCGACCTTGAGTCGAAGAATTCGCCGATATTCTTCTGCTGAGCGTGAACGAATTATCAGAAAAGGATCCACTTCTCATGGGTATCGTCTTGTTCACGCCCTCTGAAAATCAAATTTTCCGCAACCGTTGTAAAAACCAGCCATCACTCGTTTTACGTTTTACCTAAAAAGAACGAGGGAAAGATGGTATGGCTACGAGCCACCGACTTCTACTTCAATGTCATCAGATTCTAGTTTTCGCGTTATCCTCGTGAGTTACCGTAAATTCTGTTAGACAGATGTCTTTGCCTTGCCCTGTATTTATGTCAATGACAACGTTGTTGCGGAGTGATAATATTCTTAATGTGAAGTCGCGGCAGAGCGCATTAACAATCTCAGTAAAGTGAACAGAAAGGCTTGCTTTTCTATGACTTCCATTACCGCACCTGTATCATTTGAGTAGAAGACTATTCTCATGCTAATGAAAGTGAGGCTTGGGAATGCCTCGTACTTTCACGATGATTACCACTTGAAGATGATTAAGCGCTAATTCGTTCTCCCCCGTGAGTCATTAAGTTGTTATCTAAGATGAAAATCATTACCTCTGTTACTGAAACACGATAAAGTGGCACTTGCCAGCAGACAAAGCAACTTCACTATCGGTTTGTCATTAGACAATGTGATTCGCAAGAAGCTCTTCAGAGCGCTCGCTGGTATTTAATCATCAAAAAAAACTTTCGGATATACTTTCGTCGAACTAAAAAGAATACTTTTTATTCGACTTTTCGATTGATCTGGTATAACAAGGACAACAAAGAAGATCAACAAAGGTGTGAATTATTCATTTGGCCGCTATTCGACTTCAGGGTGCCTACATAATTCATTTCCATCAGTGCTAGATCGCTAGGTAAGAGAATAGAGAAGTGGAAGCGGGACAGAACAGAATAATCGAGCACAGTGGCTGCTTGAGTTATTACCGGCATTTCTTGGTCAACGCTTGAAATATTTTTGAG